ATACCTTATCTTCCAGGAGTAATGGTTTACAGGTACCCAGGAAGGGTGGGAACACAGCCTGTGAATGTCAGAAAGCATTGAGAGCCATCTACCTAGCCTCCCTTAGTGTGACCGTTAGCTGGCTCTGTGGCCCTGGGCAAGTCGTTTCACCTGTTTGGGCTAGAGAAGGTGAGGGGATGGAATCCAGACCTGGAATTTTTATTCTAGGTGAGTCTGTGTGTTCAGTCATTGACTCAACACACGCTTATTAAGCCCCTTGGGAGCTCACAGTCTGGTGGGCGAGATGACAGAACAGCCAGTATCTTCAGTGTGGTTAGCAAGGTGTGGGGTGTGGGATGAACAGGCACGTGGGACGTGTAAGAGGCCTTTAGAGGTGTGGGCGCCACACGCACAGGGCAGGTGAGGAGGCGGGAGAGCTGAGGTGCGCAGACGTGGGGCACAGTGCAGGGAAGGCAGCAGGGATTTCTGCAGCATTCTTGTCCCTGGTCCACACACGGTTCCTTGACCTGTAACAAGGCTCAGCCACTCCCTCTGTGGCCTTGGCAGGGAGCTGGTCACACCCTGGGAGCTGAGCTTGGTTGGGACTTGCAGTCACCATGATCTGCTTTGATCTGAATACCGTATTTATGTTTCGGACCCCATTTTCCCCCTTTTGTAAAGAAAAGCAAAAGCTATAGAAATATAGGCAAGGATTGTGAAAATTTGCCTGCTCTTTATAGAAATATGCTTTTTTGGGGGTAGGGGGTAATTTTTTCTTTCAGTAGGGGGTAATTTTTTCTTTCAGAGAGAAGATAGATATTTAAAGAGAGAGGCAACTGATCTTAACTCTGCTCAACGCTGAATTACTTTATGGCTCCTTGGTATCTCTGTAACCACAGAGTTTTTTCCACACTCCAGAAAGAAACTTGACCTCCCAATAAAACCACGTGCAGCATTCCAGATGGCCTCACTGTTTCTTTCCTTTTTTTTTTAATTCAAGTATAATTGACATACAATATCATGTTAGTTTCAGGTGTACATCATAATGATTTGATATTTATATGCATTATGAAATGATCACCATGATAAGTCTAGTTACCATCTGTCACCATACAAAGTTGTTAGAATATTATTGACTATATTCCCTATTCTGTACGTTACATCCCCATGACTTATTTATTTTATAACTGAAAGTTTGTACTTCTTAATCCCTTTCACCTATTTTGCCTACTCCCTAACGCCCCTCCCATCTGGCACCCACCAGTTTGTTCTTTGTATCTATGAGTCTGTTTCTATTTTGTTTTGTGTGTTTGTTTGTTTTGTTTTTTAGATTCCACAAATAAGTGAAGTCATACGGTAATTGTCCTTTTCTGTCTGACTTATTTCACTTAGCATAATACCTTCTGGGTCCATCCATGTTGCCACTGGTGGCCAAGATTTCATTCTTCTTTATGGCTGAGTAATATTCCATTATATAAATATACCACATCTTCTTTATCCATTCATCTATCAATGAACACTTAGGTTGCTTCTATATCTTGGCTATTGTAAATAATGCTGCAGTAAACATAGGGGTGCATATATCTTTTTGAATTAGTGTTTTTATTTCCTTTGGGTAAATACCCAAAAGTGGAATTGCTGGATCATATGTTAGTTCTAATTTTAATTTTTTGAGGAACTTCCATACTGTTTTCCGTAGCAGCTGCGCCAGTTTACATTCCTACCAACAGTATACGAGGGTTCCCTTTTCTCCTCAGCCTTGCTGATGCTTGTAATTTTTTGTCTTTTTGATAATAGCCCTTCTTACCGGTGTGAGGCGATATCTCATTGTGGTTTTGATTTGCATTTCCCTGACGATTAGTGATGTTGAGCATCTTTTCCTGTGCCTGCTGGCCGTCTCTATGTCTTCTTTGGAAAAAAGTCTATTCAGGTCCTCTGCCCAGTTTTTAATTGAGTTGTTTGTTTTTTTGCTATTAAGTTGCATAAGTTCTTTATATTAATCCCTTATCAGATTCATGATTTGCATATATCTTCTCAACATGATATACCACATTAACAAAACAAAGGATAAAAATCGTATGATCATCTCAATAGATGCATAAGAAGCATTTGGCAAAATTCAACATCCGTTTATTATAAAAACTCTCAACAAAGTGGGTGTAGAGGTAACATACCTCAAAATAATAAAGATCATATATGACAAGCCAACAGCTAACATCGTACTCAATGGTGAAAAGCTGAAAGCTCTTCCTCTAAGATCAGGAACAAGACAAGGATGTTTGCTCTCATCACTGTTATTCAACATGGTATTGGAAGTCCTAGCCAGAGCAGTTAGGTAAGAAAAAGAAATAAAAGGTGTCCAAATTGGAAAGGAAGGAGTAAAATTGTCACTATTTGCAGATGACATGATATTATATATAGAAAACCCTAAAGACTCCACCAAAAAACTGTTGAACTAATAAATAAATTCAGTAAAGTTATAAGATACAAAATGAATATACAAAATCTGTTGCATTTCTATACACTAAAAATGAACTATTAAAAAGAGAAATTAAGAAAATCCCATTTACAATTGCATCAAAAAGAATAAAATACCTAGGAATAAATTTAACCAAGAAGATGAAAGACCTGTACTCTGATAACTATAAAACACTGCTGAGAGAAATTAAGACAACACAAATAAATGGAAAGACATACCATGCTTATGGATTGGAAGAACTGATATTGTTAAAATGGCCATACTACCCAAAGCAATCTACAGATTCAGTGCGGTCTCTATCAAAATACCAATGGCATTTATCACAGAAGTAGAACAAACAATCCTAAAATTTATATGGAACTACAAAAGACCCTGAATAGCCAAAGCAGTCTTGAGAAAGAAGAACAAAGCTGGAGGTATCATGCTCCCTGATTTCAAACTATACTACAAAGCTACAGTAATCAAAATAGTATGGTACTGGCAGAAAAACAGACAGATAGATCAGTGGAACAGAATAGAGAGCCCAGAAATAAACCCATGCATGTGTGGTCGTTTAATCTATGACCAAGGAGGCAAGAGTATACAATGGAGAAAAGATGGTCTTTTCAATAAATGGTGTTGGGAAAACTGGACAGCTATGTGCAAAAGAATGACACTGGACCACTTAACCTTACACTGTGTACAAAAGTAAATTCAAAATGGGTTAATGACTTGAATATAAGACCTAAAACCATGAAACTCATAGAAGGAAATATAGGAAGTATGTTCTTTGACATCGGTCTTAGTAATATTTTTTTAACCTGTCTCCTCAGGCAAGGGTGACAAAAGACAAAATAAATGGGACTACATCAAACTAGAAAGCTTTTGTACGGTGAAGGAAACCATCAACAAAGCCAAAAGGCAACCTACTGAATGGGAGAAGATATTTGCAAATCAGGGTTTCTTTTCTGGAGTGGTCAGATTCTGTATCTAGGTGGGAGGAGAAACATCTAGTAGGACAGAGCGTTTCATGGGAAAATGCAATCCTCCCGCAGCACCACATCCTCACCCAGGAGGGAGCCTGGTGCTCTCTACTCCATCAGTCTACAGGGCTAGGAATGGTTTCAAGCCTCAGCAAAACCAGCTTTGTGGATTTTCTTTTAAACACAAATGAACGTCACAGACCCTGTAGAGTGTGAGGTCTTGAGCACGGAGGCGCGGGTGGGCTATCAGGCGGGGCCAGCTCTGTACTCTGTGCTCTGCCTCCCAGTACCAGCACTGCCCCCATTTAGTGCTTACTGCCTCTAGGGAACATCATAGTCACCTGGAGGGCTTGTTAAAACACACATGGCTGGACCCACCCCCAGAGCTTCTGAGTCACTAGGTCTGGGATAAGCCACAAATCTGTATGTCTAAATTTCACGTTCCCAGGTGATGCTGATGCTGCTGGTCTGGGGACCACACTTCGAGGACCACTGTGACACCTAGGCACTCCTCAACCTTCTGGAGGGTGTGTTGGGACAGGTAGACTCTGCTCCTGATGGGTGTCTGCCTGAGGGGGTCGCCTTATGCTGGAGGAACCCGTAGTTCAGAAGCAGTGGTTCACTGGGGTGCCGGGGGGAACCCTAGCTCTGTGTTCTTAATGCTAGAGCCTTCTCCCTGGTCCTCTCCACAGCAGACCTGTGGTGTGGCACTTGGGGTAGCTAAGGTGGGCTTTCATTGCCTCCTTCCATTCTGTTCTCTCTGGTGCTGCAGAAAGCTTTCTAAACCTTGCCCCTTTCCTACGTAAGACCGTTCATGGGCTTGCCATTGGCCTTAAGATAAAGTCCAGACGCTCTTAAAATGCCTGCAAGGCCTTTTGTGATTGCCCACCTCTACAGCTTTGTCTCTTGCCAGTTTCCCTCTTGGCCTCGGAAATACTCCTGTGGTCACCAGCGCCTTTTGCTTGTGAACTCACTGTGTCCTTCTTGCTTCCAGGGCATCCCACTTTGCTGTTCCTGCTGTCTGGCATGCTCTTGGCTTGCCCTCTTAGTCTGGCCAACTCCTACTCGTCAGACCTCAACTTGGCCATACTTGCTCTGGGGAGCTTCCTTTGACCCCTCTGGGATTAGCTGGTGCCTCTGCAGAGGCTCCACGTCCCCTTGTGTTTTCCTCACTTCCCCTCCTACCAGCTGCATCAAGGTCATAATTACTACCTGTTACTGCTCTGTCTTTGTGGACTGTAAATTCCCTGAGGGCAGGGAACTCATCACATGTTCATTCATGCGACTCCAGGCTTGGTGTGGTGCCTGGCCTATAGAAGGCCTTCTTAGTCCTGTGAGGTAGACACAGCAAGGGAATAAACCATGGCACAGGTAGGTTAAGTACCTGGCTCACAGTTACCCTGCCACTGAGTTGTAACAATAGCATTCTCACCCAGGTCTCTTTGATCCAACCCCTTGGCCAGGTAACACTGGCCAGGTTTTCTGCTCTGAAACCAAGGAGCGTTACGCATGGTCTATAGGTCTCTACGGGGACCATTAAAAGACTGGCTATTCCCAGTTAACAAATATGGCCCTTTCCTGTTGTTTTTCAGGTAAACTGGGAAGCAGACTCTTGAGTTCACAGTTGGCCTGTGGTTTTTGCATCTCGTTAAAGAGCACCTCTTCATACAGGTAAGGGGTTAGTTCCTGGACCTGCTCGTGCTCAGGTGGGTTGTGGGAAAACTCTAGCCTTGATGGTGCACTCTGATAACCACCCAAAGTTCTCCTTCATTAAAAAGAAGATCCTTAAATGTAGAGCACCACCTCCTCTAAGAAAGGTGTAAGACGGTCCCCTGCCTCTGTTGAGAGTCACTGGCTGAAGATCTTTACCTGGCTGGCTCTCTTCTGGACGTTGCTGGCCTTCTCATCACCCAACACTCTTTCTTTTGCACTGGGCACCCTTCTCCCCACCATTTGAGTTGGTGCTTTAGAGTTCCTTTTCCTCATTTAAGACCCAGACCAAATTTCACTTGTTATTTATCAGACTGTCTGCAGGAGAGGCTGTTTGGAGCATGGCATTTTTCTCAGCTTTCCAGCAGAAGGAATTGCTGCTTCTCTGCTCACACAACACGCTGCCCTCGCCGTGCGCAGCTTTCCTCCCTTGTTTGTGCACGTCTTTTCCCCCTGAGCTCTGAGTTCTTTTTGTCCCCACCTCCCACCTAGCATGGTTCCTGACATGGAACAGACTTTCAATAAATAGTGAATGTTAGTCTGAGAGAAAAAGGGCCTAGTAAACTAAACTAAGGCACAGCCACAAAAAAATCATAATGTATTCCTAAACCAATTAAATGACTGTGGAGTGCCCTTTTGGACTAATTACATGGCTGTTTGCTCACATTACCACGCATAATTGAGAATTTATCGTATTATAGTTGAGTCAGTAAGTTTAGATTCTTACCCCTATGGAAAAGGATAAGAAGTCAGGAGTTTTTGTTTCATTGTCTTCCTCTTGAGCAGTAAGGGATGCTGCCCTGGGAGAGACAGTTGTCTGGCAGACCCTGGGGGCCCCAGTCAGCCACAGGGTTGAACATGATCTAAATGTGCAGACAGTAAGGGAACAGGCAATTGACTTTCCCAGTTAACAACCCAGAGGAAATAAAAATATGTCTCAGTGGCTTGAGCATTTGTTTGAAAACACAGTTTAGGTTTAAATAATTTTAACAAAAAGCATTTAAATCAGTGCATTTTAGGTTTCCCCATACTTTTGAGCATGTTGGGTTCTTTGAGAGATGCGCTGATTAGCTTGATGCCATTTTGCTTCATCCTGCGGGTTGGGAGTAGCAAGCCCCAGGGCGGGGGCTCCCCTGAATGTTGGCACCAGGATGGGGCCTGGGTCCTTTCAGCACGGTGGGTGGCCGAGCTCACGGAAGCTGGGGGTGATACTTGGGTCTAACCAAAGCCCACTTGCATGTTTCATAGGAGAGTGTGGCCTTGAGTTTTTGCTCCTGCCTTCTTACCCTGCTTTTACATTAACGCTACTCATTGCTCAGCCTTTCCAGTTGCTTTGTTTGGGTTTGTGCAGCAGTGAGCAAAGAGAAAAAAGTTGTCTTCTGGTTTCTGCATGTGCTTTCCACAACCTAGTAGAGGTTCCAGCCAACAAGTCCACATAAAAGCCGTCGCTTAACCATGGTTTCTTCGACCTGGTACTGAGCCCCAGTCGTACAGCGTCCTGAAGGAGAATTTAGTGAAAGACAAGGCAGCAAAAGAAATCTGACTCTCCGCTGACCCCATTCATGTTCTTAGAGTTTCCTAAGGCTGTGTAGAGTCAGGACTTCAGCTTTGCCCAGGAGTTGCCAGTCTTCACGGAATCCAGTTTGTCTATCATACTTAAAAAATAAACCACGAAAAGAAATTACAGTTTAAAAGGTCAGACATTAAAATATGAGTGGGATTTACTTTTTAGTAGGTTTTGGAATTTGAGGTATCACTGACTGTTTTGTGAAGCTCCCTCCCTGCAGAAGCTGAATACGAGGTGGTGGTTGTGTGTCTGGTCTTCATGCTGCCAAACACATGGGGAGCGCTCACCAATTCATAATAATACCAACTCTGAGCTTCTAGGAGATATCTGATTCTCAGAGTGCCTCCTGTTTGATAATACAATCCCAATCAGGGTAGAAAAAAATGAGGCAGGTCAAGGCATCAAGTTACTGGGCTGGTCCCTGTCCACACGGGCTCTAACACACAGGTGGGTGTTCAGGCACACTTCACAGAGCTCTCTAGTTGGAGCTTGGCTACCCACGTCATCCTAGTTGGAAAATTCAAGAAGTGATGCAGTGCCTGAATTTCCTTACAGCTTCTGAACTTTGTGTTTTGGACTTCTGATATGGTGCTCTTCTGTCATTCATGAAATGTTTACTGTTTGTAAAGATGGGACTGCTAATGTCTCAGCAGTAGAATTTGTATATCAGGGCATGTGTGTGTGTGTGTAACATGGCTGTTTTGCAGTGTTGGCCTTGATCCAAAGACATTGTCCAGCATGGGCCCCTTGTGTCCAGGGTAGACATGTAGGAGCAATCAGAGCAAAGGCAACTAGTGGACCACAGCAACTGGTTTCTGGTCTCAGACTCCAGTGTCCTTAGCATACTGGTCTCTGACCGTTAATTGCCTTTATTGCTGAAATGCCTGGGCGCCTAGACTGTGGCTGGTGACGGATCCAAAAAAAAAAAAATGGCACATCCCCCCTCAGGCACCTTGGTTTTTCCAGGTGAAGCGTTTATCTTTTCTTCTTTTTAAAGAGAAGCAAAGTCTCCAAAATAGGCTTTCAAGTTTCATCATAAAGCTGCACCCAGGTATTGACATCTCTGGGAAGCGTTTGCTTTTTTCCATTTCCAGAGCACAATCGGTGCATAATTTAGGAACCATTCTGTGCTTTGATCAGGTCACTTGTCAGCTGTGATTTGTTGGCTGCTTTGTCTTGTCCACTATGGGAGTTTTGTTGTTGATTTGGAAGAAAACTTATAAGTACTTGTTTCCAGGAAAAGTTGGTTTTACGTGGAATATCTTAGACCTTTGCTTTATGGAAAGGACTGGAGGTGTTGTTTTAATCACTCTCAGGTCCTCTCTCAGTTAAGAAATGACTGTCTTCTGTTCCTTAGTGTCAATTTAAGATTATGGACCTGAGTTGGAAGGAAGACTTCGGAGAACTAGTTTACAAAAGTAACTTTTCCAAATAGGTGAAAGAGAGTGAAAAAATTTCCTCCTCCATCTCTTATAATGATAAAGAGTAAATATCCTGCATTTTAGATGATTCCTTTTCCCTATAAAGCATTTCTTTTTTTTTTTTTTGAGATCACATTGGTTCATAACATTGTATAAAGTTCAAGTGTACATTGTTATTTATCAGTTTCTGTATAGACTGCATCGTGTTCACCACCAACAGTCTAGTTTTTATCTGTCACCGTACACATGTGCCCCTTTACCTGTTTCTCTCTCCCCACGCCCCCTTCCCCTCTGGTAACCACCAGTCCATTCTCTTTATCTATGTGTGTGTTTATTTGTTTATCTTCCACATATGAGTGACATCATACAGTATTTGTCTTTCTCATTTCGCTTAGCATAATACCCTCAAGGTCCATCCATGTTGTCGCAAATGGGACGATTTCTTTCTTTTTTTTATGCCTTAGTAGTATTCCATTGTATGTATATACCACATCTTCTTTATCTGTTTATCTGTTGATGGGTACTTGGGTTGCTTCCAGGTCTTGGCTATTGTGAATAATACTGCAGTGAACATAGGGGTGCATATATCTTTTTGAATTAGTATTTTCATGTTCTTTGGATAAATACCCAGAAGTGGAATAGCTGGATCATATGGTATTTCCATTTTTAATTTTTTGAGAATTTCTTATGTGGAGCACTGTCTGAGGCTTCCAGAATTCTGTTCTCTCAGGTTCCTTTTTCAAATCTAGAGGAAGACTTGGTTGGTCCCTTTTGAACACCTCTGTTGATGCTTGTCTTCTCTTTCCTTTGTGTCCTGATGGGCAAGCCCTGGTGCTCACCCTCCTGGCCTGCGTTTTCTCTGTCTGCCCAGAGTTGCTGTGAAGAAGTCCTTCTCCCTTTATGGCTACAATCTGAAAAGGAAAACAAACAGCCGAAGCTCGCCCTGCAGCCCAGCAGGCTGGGGAAAATAGTTCTCATTCTCCTTGTTCCTGGGTTCAAAGTGCACTTAGCATTTTACGGGGTGACCAGCCCTCCCAAGGTGCTGGTTTGAGTGGGCCTGCGTTTAGCCTGGTGGACAATTAACCACGCTGACCTCCTCCTTTTGCCTTTGTTTTTCTGGCTGAGTTGACATGAATGCTCTGAGTGAGAAGACGCTGCTGCTCCTTTGAGCAGAGCACCAGGCAGGGCTGGGGGACATCTGATCTTGTTCAAAGGGGACGTCTCTGAAGCATGAAGATTGAACTGATGGTGACCCCACCCCGGGGACGGAGACGCGCCCTCTGGGGAACAGGCTGGGAGGAAGAAGCCGCCAATTACTAATCCCACTGGCCTCTGGGTCTGCAGGGTCTCATATCCGTTTAAAAGAGAGAATTGGGGTTGAAGGTAATAAAATAGGCCTTAAATTAGAGGAGCAGGGGGTCATTTCATCTAATTTTGTGGTTGTTTCTGAGGAATAAAAGGCGGAGGAGATGATTTCATTAGCCCCTTTGAGATCTTTATCACGGTGAGGTGGCATTTGGGGATGTAGCAGAGCCTCACAGGGGCTGGCTGTTTCCCTCCTGGCAGCAGGAGAGGCCGTGGGGAGGCACGGGCATCATTTAGGGCACTATGGTCGGGAACATAGAGTTTCTCCTGCTGTAACTGAGAGTTAGTGACTCAAAGTGATTGATACAGGTCCTGCCATACCACTTGGCCCGTTACTCAGGAACGTGGCATTCACACTGAAAATAAAGAAACTCAACAGACAAGAGAGTGCGTGTGGAGTTGGGATGGTGTCTTTTACTTCTGAGGAAGGCTTGCCAGTCATCTGTTGTTGACATGATTTATTTGGAGCATAATGGTCAGCAGATTCCTTTGAGTTGAGCAGTGTTTGAAGTGTTAAACCGTGTGGTGGGGGGTTTGCAGAATGGTGAGAGCTATGTCTTCTATTTGATTAGTGCTGTTCTGTTCACAGTGTATGCTAGTTTCTGCTG